TTCCGCATCGAGGGTCACTTTGCCATCGACTTTTGGGTCACTTCCGCCTCGAGGGTCACTTACGCATCGACACTTGGATCACTTACGCATCGATGGCCATAACATCACATCTTATACATCCGTGCGCAACCGATCTAATGATGCATTTTTCTGTGATCTAAGGCTTGCCATCGATGAGAGGTCTGATAAGTTGAGAGTCGTGTGTGTGGGGGGCGGGGGTGGCGGGGTGGGATAATGGAATCATTGGCCCATGGCCACATCATCACATCCTACATCCATGCGCAACCGACACTCACAAGTTCAGAATGGCCATTTCTCTGTGATCTAAGGATGGCCATTTCTCTGTGATCTAAGGCTTGCCATCGATGGCAGGTCTGATAAGTTGAGTCGTGTGTGTCGGAAGGAAAAAAACATGCCTTCATAGTCCCGAGCGTTCGTCTTGCAGCATGATCGTGACCTTTGTAGAGGCATCCCATGGATCTCCACCCATCCACTCTCCACATCATAGTGTGCAGAGCCACGCCAAGGGCACTTCACGCAGGTGATGCAGGAAATCCTCTCCCTCCAACGGAGAGAAGAATACGTCATCTGTGCCTGAAAAGCGATTTCAATAATCTGGTCGTCAACCAGCCCTCGCACATTGCACCGACATTGCTCGCGGAACTGAGGGCGAGTCATGCCCTGCCGGAAGCTGACGCGGTAAGTCTTGAACACTTCCGGCTGCACAGCAGCTGCTGGCTTGGGCTGTGCAGCGGGCCGGGCCGCTTCATAGCTCATGCAAGACATGTGGGCGGTGTTCAAAAAGATGTGATCTTTCTTTACGACAATTCCAGTCTTAAGGTAGGTCTTCCGCAATGCTTACGTTTTCCTATGTTTTCCTATGTGCAAGGTTATCCTTACGTTGTGTTTACGGCCAAGGATACATGTCCCTGCTGCAATATTTTGGCCCAGATGGATTGAAAGCAAGCAACTTCAACTTGCGGCAGCCCTACGGTAACTTGCTCTGCTGCAGATCCTTACGGCAAACCTTACTAACCTTACAAATATCAGCTAAAATCACTGCTTTTGTTGATTTTTCACCGGTCCCGTACTCAAAATGAAGAGGGGAAGTTAAAACGCTGCTCATGTCTAGCCCAGCTAGAGATACTTTGTGTAGAGATGACATAAGAGTTGAGGCTCACAGTGACATCGTGAATGGCTAGGTTAAGTCCTTAAGCCCGACGCACAAGCGACCCACAAGCGACCCCAAAACCCGACGCACAAGCGACGCCCTCTTTTGGAGGCTAGCTAATAGACAGTCTCAAAGTAGTTCGATGGGGAGGGAATGGCTGATGACGCAGCTTCACGCCAAGCGCCAGGAAAAACCGGCTCTTTAGCGGAAAGACCGTAAAGACATGTAAAAATCGCAAACGGTTCCTACCTACCATCGAATGGGTATTGAATGGAGATGCCAAATAGCGTAGGGTAGTCCAGCCAGGACACCCCATTGGATGGTGACCATCCAATGATACAATAGGTGTCCTGTCTAGATCCCGGATA